GGCGGGCACGGAGACCGACGGCGCCGGGTGGGTGGAGCCCCCGGAGGAGGGATGCTCGCGGTGGAAGGAGGGGACGCGGCTGCCCTCCGGTGGGAGCGGGACCCCCCCTGCGCCAGGCCGGATCGCGCCCTGCCAAGCGCCCGGCGGGGACAGAGGTGAGAGGCGGCAGCGGAGGGAGGGAAGGGCCTGGCCGGCGCTGGCGCATCGCGGTGGCCGAGATGGAGCTGGCGCTGGCGAGGAGCCCAGAGGGAGGTGTCGGATGGGCATCTCTTGGGAACGGCATCGAGAGGCGTGTGTGAGTGACCTGGGCAGCTCGAAGCCCCTGGGCAGCGGGAGACTCTGGTCGCCCAAGGTCGGGATCTGTGTAGCCTCGGATCAGGAGGCGACCCTCGCTGGGAGCCGCGCGGGGGCCCAGTTGTTGCCGGTCCAAGGGCTGGTCGGCGAGCACTGACTGGCCTTTCAGACAGGAGAGAAAAGGGCCGGCCGGGCCGGCTAGTCGGCTGGAGGGGAAAGGGCAGGCCTTCCGAGAGGGCGGGAGGTCCAGCAAGGAGACTGGCACCGATCTGGCACCTTGCGCAGGGGGGCATTGCGGAGTGGGGTTGTTTACCACACACTGTTCCCTGGATGCTGTAGGTTGAGGGGTGTCGGGTTTTTTTATCCTGAGTTGTGGCTGGAAAGATTTGAGATAGGTTTTCTAGTGTTTCCATCAATAATTAAAAAGTGCTAGTGATGAGACTTTTAACTGCTTAGCAAATGTAGACTCAGTTGGTCTGCCACCCTGTATATCTTTTCAGTGTCACTAGCCATGGTCATTCATTCCATTTAGGGCTTTTATTGTGTCATCTGAAACGGATGACACAACTCAGTATTTTCAGCAGAGTCGATTTGATTTAAATCAGCTGGATTTTTTTGACAATTCAATTTTTTAATTTTTTTTTTTAAAATGTAAATCAATTTGATGTTTAGAAAGTCATTGATTTTCAAGTAGACTTCAGAAAGCATGAGGCGTAAGTAGGCCCTTTGGAGGACCCTGATAATGACATGAGGTGAGCAGTAGCACAAGCCCCACACTGTATCCTGGACTTGGCTTCATGGAGGGACAGAACCACCAATACACTCTTTTACCCAGCTTCCAAATCCTGTTTGGAAGAATAGTAGTCAAGGCGAACCAGAGCTACAGGAGATCCAGCAGGGAAGCAACTCCACCTCAGTCTCCTGATGGAAGCCTCCCATCAGGGCACTAGCAGCCCATTCCTTTGCAAGGGCTGGTGTGGTGCTGCTTATTCCTCTCAGACACAGCCTACCCCAGCTATTGCTGCCTTCTGACCAATAGGGCTTCTCTGTGTGTCCATGTGTCACTGCTTACCTGTTTCTCTCTGTGTGTACACAAATGCCCATTTTTTGCCCCAGCTCTGTCTACCATTGTTCTGCCTCACTAACCACAATCAGCACCACACAGGATGATCAAGACAGCTTCTCCAAGTCAGACCAACATAGATCTGAGCCATCATCTCATCCAGAAGTGTTTGGAGCCAGACAGCAACCTAAATAATCTGTACAGAAACCCATAGAACTGCACGAAAACTTTTGGAACCTTAGAAGGCAAACTTTTTTTGGCATAATTTTGGGCCAGCATAAACTGAATCAGGGATTGGAAACATTTAATATAAAGTTGTAGTTTTAGAAGAAGTAGCCATGTTAGTCTGTGCAACTCATTACCATGCTGTTCTTGCTGCCATCTATTGCCTGGGGGAATTCAACCACTATTGTCACAGTTTGCAAAACTTCCTAGGAAAGAACTGAATATGAAACAGGGGGTCTTAAAGTCATTACCAGGTGTAGAATGCCAGTCTTCTTAATTTTGGCCATGTATAATTAACAATCATGATATTTTTATTCTACGCCAGGGGTTCCTACACCCCTTTACAGTACAAAGCTTCAGTATAAAAGATCTAAATATCAATCAGACTTGTTTACATGGTGTGAAATACCAGGAATGTTGGCAAATCTTTGGGTTCAAGTTTCAAGTCTGAATCCAAATCCTTTGGTACCAAGTCCCGTCTCTATTAAAAACAAACATTTCCTCCCAGAAAAAAAGGGAGGGGTGGGTGGATTCTGAGTCACAAGTTGAGTCCAAGACATTTTTTTAAAAAGGCAAGTCACTAGAGTGATTTAAGTCCAACCTGACAGCAAGTCCCATGACTTCAGTCCCCATCTTCGTGAAATATCACATTGACTCACGTAATTTGCAGCTTACTGTATGTCTATTAACCACCCACTCATCTCTATATCTTTATAAATGTATTAAAAATTGCCATGTAATCTCACTCTTATGTCTGAGGAAGTGGATTTAATCCAAAAAGCTCACATTCAAATCTAACAGTTAGTCTTTAAGGTTCCACAATGTTTTTGTCTTTTTAAATTTTTCTGCTATTTTTCTGATTTAAATAAATTTAAAATTTCCTATCCTACCCCCTCCTTCAGGTTCCAAGGATCCCTAGGGCTCCCTTTTGGCCTGAGTCAAGCCTTTGGGAACCTCGGGATGCAAAGGGGAGGGGGGAATATGTCATTAATAATGAGCGTTTGTCACTGGATTGCTGCTCCTGGGCCCAGGGCCACTGGCAGCGATCTGGACATGACCTTTTTACTATTAAAGCCCACCCCCATCCCAAAGGCTTCCAAAGGCTTTCCGAGGGCAAAAGAGAGCCCCAGAAAGCTGTAGAAACTGGAAGCAGGAGTAGGAAACTTTCCATGTGTTTAAATTAAATGTTGCCAGTGCACAATCCAGAATATGCCAAAGTTACACAACAGGATTTTTCTCATTGTTTATTCCTCCCCTTGGCTAGATCTACAACAGCAGAGTTGAGAGAGGTAGCTACAATTCCCTGAATCCCTATAGCCAGAATTGGCCATAGGAATTCTGGGAGTCACAGTTTGAAAGATTACTTCTCCAAGCTCTTGTGCAAAGTTAATATGCAATACACTTTTAAAAGAAAAGGAGTGGACTTCCATGACTGATCTTGTGCAGACAGAAATATGTCGTAAAATTGTGGCCATTGACATGAAAATTATGAAGTGTGTAAAGCAAATGAGGATATGCAGTATTTAGATGTTGCTGGATTCCAGCCAGACATCCTGGAGAGTGAAGTCAAGTGGGCCTTAGAAAGCCTGGCTAACAACAAGGCCAGTGGAGGTGATGGTACTCCAGTTGAACTATTTAAAATCTTAAAAGATGAGGCTGTTAAGGTGCTACATTCAATATGCCAGCAAGTTTGGAAAACTCAACAGTGGCCAGAGGATTGGAAAAGTTCAGTCTACATCCCAATCCCCAAGAGAGGCAGTGCCAAGGTCTAATACAAAAGCCAACTGAACAATGGAATTTATTATACGAATGGCTTGAATTTTAACATAGAATTAAACTAAGATATAACTCTAAGTAGAAATCTGGAAGGGCAATCAAACTATAGAAGGGAGAAAAGTGGACTTGATATTGTAACACAAACAACAGGATTGGATGACAGTATATTTTATGTTCTTCTCCACCTCCCTTTTTGGTCCATTCCCCTTAACTTCTGTATCCCTTACACTATCCCTAGTTTTTTAAAAAGAAAAAAAATTAAAAAAGAAAAAGAACAAAAAATTTAAAAAAGAAAAAGAAGATTTTTTTTTTAAAAAAAGGAAGAATACTCAGGGAGAAGATCAACATGCTACTATTAACTCCTGAGGAGAGGAAGTCAGGAGGAATTAAAGAACCTGGTAATGAGGGTGAAAGAGTGCAAAAAATGGCTTGAAACTCACATAAAAAAAACTAAGATCATGGCCACTGGTACCATCACCTCCTGGGAAATAGAAGGGGAAAATATGGAGGCAGTGACAGATTTTACTTTCTTGGGCTCCATGATCACTGCAGATGGAGACAGCAGCCACAAAATTAAAAGACACCTGCTTCTTGGGAGGAAAGCGATGACAAACCTTGACAACATCTTAAATAGCAGAGACATCACCTTGCCAACAAAAGTCCGAATAGTCAAAGCTATGGTTTTTCCTGTCGTGGTGTATGGAAGTGAGAGCTGGACCATAAAGAAAGCTGACTGCCGAAGAACTGATGCTTTTAAATTGTGGTGCTGGAGGATGCTCTTGAGAGTCCCCTGGACTGCAAGGAGAACAAACCTATCAATTCTAAAGGAAATCAGCCCTGAGTGCTCACTGGAAGGACAGATCCTGAAGCTGAGGCTCCAGTACTTTGGCCATCTCATGAGAAGAGAAGACTCCTTGGAAAAGACCTTGATGTTAGGAAAGTGTGAAGGCAAACAGAGAAGGGGACGACAGAGGATGAGATGGTTGGACAGTGTCACCGAAGCAACCAAAATGAATTTGACACAACTCCGGGAGGCAGTGGAAGATAGGAGGGCCTGGGGTGCTCTGGTCCATGGGGTCACGAAGAGTCGGACACGACTAAACGACTAAACGACGACGACGGATTCCAGCTCCTAATATCATTCTTCTTGTTCTTAGCACCAGCATCATTATTGCTATCCTTATTAGTACATTTCTACACCACCTTTCCACCACTAGGTAGTACTCAGGGTGACTTACCATTAGCATAAAACGTAATTTAAGAAACAAGTAAATTCAACCAATAATATTAAAATAAAAATGACATATGAACCTTTCACAGCTTCCATTCAAATCTACAAAAAAATTTTAAAAATCACAATAAATGAAACAATATTGTCAGCCTGTTTTAAAAAATACATCTTCACACCCTCCCTAAAAGCAGCAAGAGCAAAAATGGCTCACAGCTCTGACTGGAGTGTATGCCATGAACTGGGGGCCATTCAGGAGAAACCTGCCCAGCGATCCTCTGAGTTCTGAGGCAAGCTTTCCTGTTGCCTGAAATAGGAGGAGGAGACCCATCATCTCTCTTTGTGCTGCATGCCACTCTTCCCCTCGCTCCAGTCCAGCACTGCATGAGAACGCTTACAGAGTAGGGAGGGGGAGGAAGAGGAGGACCAGGGGTGGCAATGCGGGCAGAACCCTTGCTGGTTGGCTTCAGAGTGCGGCTGCCGTTATATGTCGAATGCCTGGGTTTGGGGGGCCAAGATGCTGTGAGAGGAAGACCCTGGGCTCAGGCAAACGGTCACACTCTGAAGAC